ATCTATGGCAGAAGAGGGTTATAGTGACTGTTAGGGAGGCAAGGGGAGCTTCTGCATGCTGGTAATTCCGTGTTACCAGATCTGAATTAGAGTTGCCAGGGTGTGTTCCTTTTGTGATAACTCATCAAGCTGTATACTATAATGTATTCATTTTTTCTGTATGTGCTATACTTGTTTTATTAAAGCAATTCCAATTTAAAAACAATTAAAAATAGAGAAACATGTTATAATAAAAAATAAAATGGTTATAATACTACTATTAACCACATGGGTTATTACGAGATTTAAGTGAATTAATGCATGTAAAGAATATGGCACAAAATCTGGCGTACAGTGGTTGCCTTAAAAGTTTTGAAAACCATTCATTTTGGAATTCTCTTCCTCTTCTGACTTGATGTTGTCTGCAAGGCTTCTGACCATATTGCTTAATTTCTGTATTTATTGTAGACAAATTTCTTAAATTTTTTAGTGCTTTATTACAAAGGTGCTAGTAATATTCCTTTTGACATATAAGTCAAGTAATTTTAATTACATGTGTTTTTTTTATACACTTGGAATCACATCTTTTAAAAAATAAACACAGGCAGGTTAGCTTTTTGTCATTTGTAAATTTTCTATTAAAAATTCTCAATAATTCTAATATGTAAATAAAATGAAATCATTAATAATTTTTTTAATTTTTAAGCCTTCATTAAAGATTAAAATCTAAGTACAACATCCTCACCAACATGTTGTTACTAGAGATTCACACTCAAAACCGCTTACCTTTTGTTACAAAGTTTTCTAGAATGGCAGTCTCTAATAGCTGGGTTTGAACTGAAGGAAAATAAACTGCTAGAGTGGTTATTGGTCTATGGGCTTGAATGGCCTCCCCCACCCCACCTGTCAAACCAACATTCACATTCTCTTCTTACTAATCCCTTCTTAAAGCTAAATTCAACTCCCCTTTATCCAGGGCAAAGGTTCAGAGCGAGAGGGAAAATAAGGACATTACTAACCCTTGCTAGTAAATGCAACATTATTCCACTGCCTACTCTCTGCCATCCATCATTCTCAGCTCTTCTTCCTAGTTCACTTTCCAGTCTTTTCCAACCATTACCGTTGACTCTGAACCCTGACATCAATGAACACATCAGTGTGACTGCGGAAACATTCCACAGTGATGCCTGTGATGGCATCAGGTAAATTGGAGCATGGCTTGTTTGCCAAAAATTGTTCAGTGAGGTACCTAGTATTCAATACTACTTTTCTTCCAAGACAAGAGTCAATGGCAGAGTAGGGTTACACTTATGATTACTTGAAATTTAACGGCAGATAGCTGGTGGTGGATTCTCTCTTTTAATGAAGGTTTCTTCCAAGGAAGACACTGTTGGGGATAGCAAGAATAAAAGATTAAGATATAAAGGCCAGAGAATCAAATCAATGATTTGGAACATAAGGAAGAAAAAAACAACCACCAATCAGAATAAGGAAAAAAAAGAATCCAAAGAAATGAGGATAGGATAAGCAACCTCTGGGACAGTTTCAAGTGGTCCAACATTCACATCGTAAGGGTGCCAGAAGGAAAAGAGAAAGAGCAAGGAATTAGAAATCCATTTGAAAAAATAATGAAAGAAAACTTCCCTAATTTGGTGAAGGAAATAGACATGCAAGTCCAGGAAGCAGAGAGTCCCAAAGAATGTGGATGCAAAGAGGCCCATTCCAAGGCACATCAAAATTAAAATGCCAAAGGTTAAAGATAAAAAGAGAATCTTAAAAGCAGCAAGAGAAAAGAAGTTAGTTATCTACAGGGGAGTTCCCATAAGACTGTCAGCTGATTTCTCAAAAGAAACTTTGCAGGCTAGAAGGGACTGGCAAGAAATATTCAAAGTCATGAAAAGCAGGGACCTATAGCCAGGATTGCTCTACCCAGCAAAGATATTTAGAACTGAAGGACGGATAAAGAGCTTCCCAGATAAGACAAAACTAAAGGAGTTCATCATCATCAAACCATTATTATATGAAATGTTAAAGGGACTTACTTAAGAAAAAGGACAAAATTATGAACAATAAATTGGCAAAAAATACAGCTCTGTCAACAATTGAATCTAAAAAACAAACTAAGCAAACAGGAAGAACAGATAGAATCATGGATGCAGAGAGCATTTTTGATGGTTGCCAGATGGGAGGGGGCTGTGGAGGGATGGGTGAAGAGGTGGAGGGGATTAAGAGGAATAAATAGGTAATTACAGAATAGCCATGGGCATGTAAATTACAGTGTAGGAAATGGAGTAGCCAAAGAACTTATAAGCATGACCCACAGACAAGAACAATGGTGGGGGGATTGCCTAAGGGAGAGGGAGTAGCTGGTTGGAGGGGGGCAAAGGGGGAAAAATCAGGACTTTAACAGCATAATCAACAAAATATAATTAAAAGTGAAAAAACTTATCAAAACTGGTGAATTTTTGTGCAGCCATTTTCATATTGAAGATGGAAAAAATATGCAACTTTTTCAGTGTATTATGCTTCATTATTTCAAGAAAGGTAAAAATGCAACTGAAATGCAAAAGAAGACTTATGCAGTGTCCAGAGAAGGTTCTGTGATTGATCGAACATGTCAAAAGTGGTTTGCAAAGTCTCTTGGTACCATTGATATTTTGGCCAAATAATTCTTTACTGTGGGGCTGTCTTATGCATTGGAAGATGTTTAGCAGGACCCCTGGCCTCTACCCACTAAAAGCCAATAGTGGGAGAGAGCCAACATACTCAAAATATCCAAATCAATAAAGTTATTGGTGAAGATGAAAAAAAGAGCAAAATGACCATATCTTTTACCCTCCCCAAATTTCTATATTCTACCCAGATGAGTATGTATCACGATCCGGTGTCTATCCACAATAGATGGACTAGGCATCTTTTACAGAAGCCAGAAACTCACTCTATTCTGTGTTTTCTGGAAAATTCATCATTTGTGTGAGAGCTAATTAGCAAAAGTAAAAATTATTCAATGTTCTCACCATGCTTGCAAATAAAAACGTAGTCCTTAAATATTCCTATGTGAATCCAACACATATGGGTAGGTCTGAAAAAACATAATCAAGGGACAAAGGATACTCTGTGAATAAAACCAGTTTTAAGAGGGGGGAAAAAAAAATGTTGTCTTTGCAACCACAGTTTCTCTTATGAAACAGAAGCCCCAAATAGATGGAAATGTGTCTATGCGAGCTGCTGACCCTGGCGTATCCCATAACAAAGAAATGCAGTTACGGTTCAGCTGCAAAGTCCTGGGCCCTCGTTTTCCCAGTGGCCTAAATCAATCTCCAGCCCAGGGTGAGAGGCTGAGCAAGATGCAGAATTATTTCAGGGCACTAGGGTAAGCTCTATTCCTGGCAGCTCTGTAGGCAGCACCATGGATGAGGGTTTCTAATTCTCTTTGGTGATTTGGTCCTGTGTAAACTGAGATTTTTTTCTTTCAGCATTTCAGCCAGATAAGCAGGAAAGTCCCTCTCCAGTACTGAGATGGGGGCAGACGAGGTCTATTTCAGTTCCTTTTCGATGCAGTTCAGTCTGCCTTTCCCTGCTGCCTTCCCTGACACCTGTCCTTATATTTTTATCTGGTTATCAAATACCTATGAGTGAAACTTTGGCAGCCTCTGGTGCTCACTTAGTCATCCAAAAGCATCTTAGCCTAAGGAATACCAGAAATACTCTGCAAAGCGTGTACTTGAAGAGGCCAACCTAAGACCCCTGGCTGTGAACCACAAGGAAGTGTCTTCCATGGGCATTTTAAGGGTAAGGTCGAGACCATTGCCTGCTCTCACCAGAGACAACACCGATTCAACTTGCCTGTTACCACTCTCTAATTCCTGGTTATACTCAGTTGTCATCTAACATGAAAAGGGAAAAGCAACTCTTGTCACTTCTGTATGGACGATGGTGAAATCGAGGTTTAAAAGTGTAAAAGAGTTGTCAAAAGTGGATTCAACAAAGCAGTGTTGTAGCTGGAAAGATCAGCTGACACCTGTCCCTGGTTTTGTAGGTCACAGACTCTAAGTTTTAGAGCAGTGTTTTACTTACCATAAACCTCCTTGAAAGCTTCTGTTTACTTTCTTAAACTGTGGATACCAGTGGAGAGGTACCAGCTGTACATTCCAGACACTTACCCAATATATGCAGACTGAGCAGTCTGCCTGTTGCATACACAGCTCCAGGCTGAAGAATTTCTAAGGTTGTTAGAAGAACAAATGAGGCATTAAGGGGAGTGGGCACCGATGTACCAGGAAATAGCCTATAAGCCTGCAAAGGCAGATTTAAAACAACCTCTTCATTATTACAAATAAAAAATGAATCAGTTGATTCTGTGCTTTTTCAAACTGCATTGCTCTCCCCCTGCGTCTTCACTAAATAAATGCAAGCACATGTTGCTTTGAAATAGGTAGGTGTCAAAGAACACCCTGCACAGTTATCTCTAGGCTGACATCAATTTATATCACAGACATACATGTATCTGGAGGATATTAAATCATGACAGCTGTGCATGACAAATGCAACAAAACACAAGTTGGAATGCCGAAAAAATGCAATTACAAACCCCATGCAGACAAACACGCACACAGGAGTTTTCCCTCAACACACACGTGGCCGCACTTACAGGCGCTTAACCACCTTCATAAACCCCGAGCAAAACCGCCCGCGAGCTGTCTCCACGCAGGCATGCAGCCGCGCCTTCATTACCAGGTAAGGATTGTCCCGTGTCCCTGGAGACAGTAGCCCTGCCACCGCCACCCCCGGTGCAAGCACACGCGCACCACCTTGCGCCCCCCGCCGGAAAAGCGGCGGCCCGGGGGCTGGGTGCTGGGCCCGGTGGGGCGGGAGCGCCGCGGGGCCGGGCCTCGGCGCCCGGGGAGGGGACAGGGGCGGGCACGGGGCGGTGCCCGGCTCACGTGGGCGGGCGGGAGCAGCTGAAGGTCCGCACGGAGCCGGGGCTGTCCTCTCGCGCGCTGCGCTGGCCAGGGCGGCGGCGGTGGAGGAGGAAGAGGAGGAGGAGGAGGAAGGCGGCGGTGGCGGCGGCGAAAGCAGAGGGAAGGACGGGGGCGGCGTCGGACTGGAGCCGAGCGGCGGCGCGAGCTGCCCGGGGCGCGGTCGTGTGCTCGCCCGCCGGGCCCCCACCGCCGAGCTACACCCTGCCGTGCCCAGCTCTGCCCGCGTCCGTGCCCCTACGGGGAGCGCGCCGGGGCTGCCCCCCGAATGACGGGCGGAAGGTTCGACTTCGACGATGGCGGCACCTACTGCGGCGGCTGGGAGGAGGGCAAGGCGCATGGGCACGGCATCTGCACGGGGCCCAAGGGCCAGGGCGAGTACTCGGGCTCCTGGTCGCACGGCTTCGAGGTGGTCGGAGGCTACACCTGGCCCAGCGGCAACACCTACCAGGGCTACTGGGCTCAGGGCAAGCGGCACGGGCTGGGGGTGGAGACGAAGGGCAAGTGGATGTACCGGGGGGAGTGGTCACATGGTTTCAAGGGGCGCTACGGGGTCCGGCAGAGCTTGTGCACCCCCGCTCGCTACGAGGGTACCTGGAGTAACGGGCTGCAGGACGGGTACGGCGTGGAGACCTACGGGGACGGAGGTGAGCGGCGTCGCAGGCGCCTGGGAAGGCTGGCGCGGTGGGCTTTGCCGGGGCCGCAGGGCGGTGGGGGTGGGGGGCGGGGACGCCACGCGCACGTGTCCGGAAACCCGCCAAAACACCTGGGCAGCCTCCCACCCACTCCCCACTCCCCACTCCCCGCGCGCGCCCTCCCCCAGAGGGTGCGTTGGGATGCAACTGGTGCGCGGGGGGGTTGACCTGACCCGGTTCTGAGAACGGGCGCTGTGTCCACACCCGGGACAGCCAGGCGCGAATATACCTGGCCGGCGCCAACGCAACACTGTCACCGGGAGGAAGCGCCGCCCGGGAAGGTTGGACTGGAGGGAGGACGCTGTCACTTGAGCCCGTCACATTACGTTCCTGATCCCTTCCTCTCCCGGCCGGGTTTGAAATCGCCACTGCCGTGGAGTTAGAGCGAGCGCCCTGAGCTTTCGAGGCTGGCGGTAGCTGCTGACCGCTCCCGGATTGGTTTCACGTGGAGTCGTATTTCGCTGCTGGTCCTCTAGTAGCCTAAAGATAGAAGCCAGAACCCCATAACTAGGATGTGGGGGAATGGCACCTTATTTGGGGTGCATTTAGAAACAGCCTAGTTATGGGAACAGAGGCCACCTGACGCAGGTGCAGTCGGGTGTGGGGTTTTGTTCCTAGTTTTCATAAGGTTCCTTAAAGAATTTCGTCAAAACAATGGTAGTCCTTGTTGACTTGGAGATCTCTAGACAAATTACTAGGAAAACATTTTAGAAATGAACTAAGAACTCTAAGTTTTAAAAAATACAATTGAGAGGTATACTCTCAATAGTTACCTTAGCTGCTGCTTTGCTTCTGAGAATGGCAGTGCCCAAAACTGATTTGTAAGAAGGTGTATGGCGTAGACAGTATGCTGGCCGTGAACAAAATTCACCTTATTTTAATAATTAACAATATTTCCAACAGAAATTACGCATATAGTAGAGCAAACTTTTTCAATTAGGTCAAGTATACATTATTGAAACACATCAGAAACTTGATGAATTTCCTTGTGTAATATGCTGAGAAGGATGAGTGGCTTATGTTTTGGCAAAATACATTTTCTGATAATAAGCATAATCATAGTTAATTGAATAGAGTCATAGGAGGTAATGTAACCTTTTGGGATTACGCAGCTCAGAGCTGAAGGATATTAAAGGGATCCAGTTAAAAGTTTCTCCAGCCTAGTGCAACCCCAGTTAGGCCAGTGGCTTATATAAAAGCTTATACAATTTGTACATTTCGCTTACTCAGAACATGGGCCATGTTCAAATGCAAAACGGCAGAATGGTAGGATTTGCTAAAAAGGACATCTTTTCATCCTACAGTATAAAGAATATGATTCTCATGGATTAAAAGGGAGAAGAAAACACCTCCTTGAATACTTTTATATGGGCTGCTTGGGTCCCAACTTCCACAGTGGTTAATGAGGGCCGTTAAATGATTTTGAATGGGCTTACGGTGCCTTGGCTGGCAGCCCTATTAATACGTTAGCTTGTGATTATGTTTTACTGGAAGCCCAGCTCTTCCATATAACTAAATTCCATGCTTAAATGTAGAATGCAATATTTATTTTTTAAATGTGTGCAACATTTTAGGAAAGCTATGAATAATTCTCTTCAGTTTGGGAAGGTTAAAAATAAATTAGTCTTCTTTTAAAGGTACAACTCATAAAACAAAATCTCTTGGTTTAGAGTATTCATTACACCTAGTAATCAAAAAATATATATAGCACAGTGAAGGTCATCTCTTGTATATTTTGTGAAATCTCAAATATATGTCCAGGCTGACTTTATGTATAATCTGCCTCCTGTTTTAAAATTTACAAAAAAGAATAATAACCTTCAAAATTCGGCATCGCCATAGTACAGTGGTTTTCTTTTTCTACAACCTCCCCCCCCCCACCAAAAAAAAAAACCTAATATACTATCAATTAGGAAGAGGAAAAAACTCTTAAAAGTCACAATTCAGTGTTTATTCTGTGCTAGGTGATTTTCTGCTTTAATTTGTCACTCTGTTTAATTAGAAAGCCTTTAATCATAAAAGGGGAGAGAGTATAAGTGGAAGTGTATGGTCATGACTTATTTTATGCAAAGGTTTAGACCCAAATGGGAAATACAACTTTCCCTATTCTTACTTGAGTTAGCTTAGTTGTGATGTTGTCTGTTTGTTGCCTCTGCCCAGCTATATGTCAGTCCCTGTATTACCCTCTGTCAGACGTAGGGAAAATCTGATTCCATATACTTTGTGGTAACATTTAGTTAGAGGAGAAAGGAAGTAGTAATTCCATGTGAGAAGTATCATGTGATTTATTGCTGATTTGTGTATAAAGTGTTGGCTGAAGAGAAACCCCCGAATATTACATTAGAATAAATTGGTTCCATACTCAAGAAACCCAAGTTGAGGTGCCCAGCATTTTGGGGGCAAACTCTGATCTGCTGTACTTTGTTTTCCCACCTGTCAGAAAACTACTAGAAATGCCTATGAAGACCCATTGTTGTTAACTGTATGCATACTTGCACACACCCACCTGTTGCATAGAAACATAGGTTTGGCATACAAAAGTCTTAATTTGACTGGAACTCATTCTAAACTGGATACCTTCCCCTACAAAATGGCTTTAGCTAGAAAATCAGCTCCCAGGTGAAAAATCATTGAAGAAGTTAAAACAAAACCCATAAAAATCAGTTTTACACTTGTGGAATCTGCATCTATCTTTACGGAGTCTAAAGAACCTAATTAGAGCTTTATCTGAGCAGCAAATAAAGACATCGGAACTACAAGCTTCAAAAAGAAATAGAGGCCCTTTTTTTCCTACATTCACTGACTAAACTAAACATATTTTAAATTTCAGATGAACTACTAACACTTTGACTGTAAATTGGCTTCTGGAAAGTCCATGGAGGAATTCCTCCACATACTGTAATTTAACAGAAGAGAATGGAAACGTGGCCATGCTGTTCATCTCGCCTTCCTTATTTGACAGTTAACCACAGACATAAACTTCCTAACTATTATTGTTGCCTTAAACTGCTTAGATTTTCAAGCTATACTTCTTTGGAAATTCCAAATATTAGTCTTACTTTTGGAGATAACAATTTAAGGAAACTAGCTTTTAATGTTCTCTCAATGCTAAACATTTACCAGGATAGTATGGTTGCAATTTAGAAGTATAAATACTTATTGATTCAAACAGCACCTTTGGAAATTCTTCTAGCAAAATTAACCTGTCATTACGTAGGAAAGTTAGAAGGATATAATTTTAGTGTTTCACGCTTATTTAAAACAAAATATTTAAAATAAGGTGGTTTGTTTTAGTATGTGTAAGTCAGGTTGTATAACTTTTATCCTAGAATTTAAATTTCATTTAAAACAAAATGTTTAAAATAAGGTCATTTTAGTATGTGTAAGTCAGGTTCTATAACTTTTATCCTAGAATTTAAATTTTATCTATATAGGTAAAGGAAAAGTCAAAGTTGGTATTTCCTATTCTGTTTCCTTCCCTCTTAAGGTGATGATGTTTGAAGATGGCTAGTATTCAGTAGGAAGTTTCTTACCCTGAAGTGTTCCAAATGACGTTCCTGCCCTTTCGGGTCTATCCTTTTGAGAAAGCTATGGCCCATCCACCTTCTCTGAAGTTCATGGATGTCTGGTTATGACTTTCACATCTACCCAGCATATGACCCTCATAGTGCCAGACTTAGTATTTCATTTTTGCCCGGCTATTGTCTGTTTTATGACATAAATATAGCAAAATAAGCAGAAAGAGAATATAGTCTTGAAATTAGTCAACACTTTTAATTTGGGGCCCACTGTGGTTTTAACTTTGAAATGTAGCCCTTGTTTACACGATGACATAAAACTAGCATTTTGCTCAGAATTTTAAAATGAAGTATATGCCACACAATGGACATCTATATGTAGTAATTTAAAATGAAAAGTGACTTCAAGGCAGATGTATAATATTAGAAACAAAGAGGTCAAGACAGACTGTAATAATGATTTATTTTCTATGATCCTGTGAATTATTATGAATACAGAAGTAATTGCATCTTAAAAATTTCCATGTAGCCTTGTTTTGGGAGGTATTACAATTTTTTTACTTTGTATAAATTAGCTATAATGTGTTCAAATTATTTTTTATTTTTATTTTCTCAATTACAGTTTATATGCGCTATTATTTTGTATTAGTTTCAGATAGTGTTGAGCCAATCATATACTTTAAAAAGTATTCCTCACCCCAGTATTTCCAGGGGATATACGGTAATTTAAATTTTGCCTTTATTGAAGGAAATGACCTTGATTTTGAAAATCTAAGTTCCCTAATTTTAACACTTAATTTCTTCCTAAGATTATTTTAAAAACTATACCAGGTTATTTTTGAAATATCTTTGCTAATTTATTTCATAGAAAACCTTACTGAACATAAACAGTTTTGAAGGTTATCCTATTTCTGAAAAGGCATAATATTCATTGAGAAAGTAATCTGCTATCATAAAGTTTTAAGGAACACATCAAACACATCTTTGCTCTGAGATGAATTCTGTAATGTTAAGAGTGAAAGGTTTCCTCTAACTTTATCTCAGTTTTTTTCTTTTTAGCCACAGAGCTGTGTACTGTAAAGTTTTCAAACATCGACAGACCACAGAACACGCAAGCCATGAGTCTAGAAATTTTATGTTCTCTTGGGGCAATTCCTGCCCTCAGAGTCCTTCAAGTCCTTGCTGTGAGGCACAGTACAAGGGCAGAGGCCAGGAAAATCACAGGAGAAAACAGAAATTTGGCAAGTAATATGGGACAAGTCTCTTTTTAAATATATATATTCTTTTGGTATGATTGACAAATGTTAGTTTCAGGTGTACAACATAATGATTCCATACTTGGATATCTTGTGAAATGATCTTCACAATAAATTTAGTTAACACTCATCACCAGTAGGGGACAAATCCTAACCTTTTCACCTGAAAGTACTCAATGTTAAAACAAATTGCCCATTTTTTCATGATGGTTCACTATACTCAAGATATATATATTGTATTTGCTAAATCACTCTTAGCTCAAAAAGTTCCACCCAAATTTAAGTAATAATCCTAAATATTTACATTCCCCTCCCCCCCCAAAAATGGTGTGAATGTGATAGAATTAAGACAATTTGTTTGATGACCCATCCCTAAGTCCTTGACCTTGTTGGAATGTTATACTGACAGATCCAAAAGTCATTTTTAGAGTTTTTCCGCTAAATTAGAGTAATCAATAGTAAAATTAGAATAAAATGCACAAGTAGAACTCATTTCATCTTCTATGGCACTGCCTTTTTATTTTTTTTACATGAAATTTCTTTAAATTTTTTTCAATTAGTTAAACCTTCAGTGTTACATTATGTTAGGTGTACAGCAGAGCAGTTAGATATTTGCATAATTTACTAAGAGGGATTTCTGATGTGTTATTTTCAGGGATGAAAAGTTGTTTTCCAATGATCACCCTTGGTATTCGAAAGTACTGGTTTCATCTGAAACTGGTATACATTTTTAGATGAAAAGCAAAATGACGAGAATATTGGAAAATCCTTTACAATTCCAAAATGGCATATAGACACAAAGTTACAGGACAGGGATTCGCAAATTAAAAGGATCCTGTAGAGTTGCCTGGGAAGGCTGTGGGATTTGACCTTGGGCCCGTCTGCCCTTGCGTGCCCAGCTGTCCAAGTGCACTGCAGGTCCTGGCAAGGATCAGGCACCTTCCACCCTGGACTCATGCTGTGCTTTGGTCTCTCGAAGGTACCTACCAAGGCCAGTGGGCCGGTGGCATGCGGCATGGCTACGGCGTGCGCCAGAGCGTGCCCTATGGCATGGCTACGGTGATCCGCTCGCCCCTGCGCACCTCGCTGGCCTCGCTGCGCAGTGAGCAAAGCAATGGCAGCGTGCTCCACGACGCAGCTGCAGCTGCCGATAGTCCAGCCGGCACCCGCGGTGGCTTCGTGCTCAACTTCCATGCCGATGCTGAGCTCGTGGGCAAGAAGAAGGGCGGCCTCTTCCGCAGGGGCTCCCTCCTGGGGAGCATGAAAATTCGCAAGTCCGAATCCAAGTCTTCCATTTCCAGCAAGCGCAGCTCGGTCCGCAGCGACGCGGCCATGAGTAGAATTAGCTCCAGCGATGCCAACTCCACCATCAGCTTTGGCGACGTCGACTGTGATTTTTGCCCCGTGGAAGACCATGTGGACGCCACCACCACGGAAACCTACATGGGGGAATGGAAGAACGACAAACGCAATGGTTTTGGCATCAGCGAGCGCTCTAATGGCATGAAGTATGAGGGCGAGTGGGTCAACAACAAGAGGCATGGCTACGGCTGCACCGTGTTTCCCGATGGCTCCAAGGAAGAGGGGAAATACAAAAATAATATTTTGGTCCGTGGAATAAGGAAGCAGCTTATACCGATAAGAAATACAAAAACTAGGGAGAAGGTGGACAGAGCTATAGAAGGCGCGCAAAGGGCAGCTGCCATGGCGAGAACCAAAGTGGAAATAGCCAATTCAAGGTATGTAAACACAGGGTGGGTGGTTTTGCTGGGTCGTTCCACACAGGGCCGTGTCAAATTGTGGTTGTCAGTCTGACGATGATGTCACCAAATAGGTCCTACCACCGCTGGAATTAAAGGTGGCAAATGATGAAACCCAATAGAATGAGAGGGTTGGAAGTGTACTTGTACTGTTTGAAACTTTCCATCATCAAAAAATGTTAAAGGTAGAGTAAGGTCCCCTTCCTATTATAAATTACCTCCCTAATCCTTAATGGGATGGAGTTCACACAGGCCCTGTGTTCATTTTCCGGGTCCAGGAAGTTACACTTATTTAAAAAGTATCCCTGAAACACTGCCATGGAGAGGATGGTGCATGCACGTGGAAACACACCTGGTATAGATGAGTCCCTTTATCCTAATATTTCAGTTCAAGGTGTGTATGACTCCCTCTATAAAAATTATCCTGATTTATAAAATTCAGATTCTGTATTGTGGGGTGTTTTAGGTGAAACTGATTTTGAGAAAGCCACTGAGATCTAGATATGCAGAAGTGGGAAATTACATACGAAGTCTAGCATGCATTCTTGAAAACAACAGCGGTCATGTACATGGGAAAGGCAAAGGGACGAAAGCTGCACATTTTATGCAGGAAAGATTAGATCACTGGGATATTATAAGGAGGGGGTGGGGGGAGCTTGACATGGACAGATGGGACTGTCAGTGTGCCAGGGTTGGGAGAAAGTAGAGCAGTAGAGATGAGCTGGAGTGTGGAGTGAGGAGCAGAAGGCGGGTGAATAATAGATTGAGAAGTAGGGTGTATGTGGGCACGCAAGGACTATGTATTTGAAGTTTTACCATTAATAGCTGGGTTTAGGGATTCAACAAGAGGGATGGAGAAATCTATTGGGAATAGAATTTTATGAGGAATGGATGTCATGTTAGACAAAAAAAGAAAAAGGAATGGTAATAAATGTAAATTTGGGGGGGAGGCTTAAGTGGGTACAGACTGGCCACAGTTCTTTGTGACTTGAGGCAGACATTTGACATAGAATATCAAAAATGCTTTTCCTGTTTCAGTAATATTCTCCCATAGAAGTAAACCTCCTTTGAAACCACAAAGTTAGCGTGTCTTCAGGTTTTTATTCTTATCATTGAACTAATGACCCCCCCCCCACCTTTTTTGGTTGAAACATGTGAAATGTATGGTATTTAAACTCTTGATATACAAAGAAGTGACAATTCCATATGGTTGAACTTAATACCTCCAGACTTCTAAAGGGTTTGTCTTTTTGTTTTTTAATGCCCCTATTTGATGAGTACTATTTACTTCTGAGTGTCTGAAACACTGCTTGGAAAATGGAAGATTTTGCATTATTTATAGGTACATGTTATATTAAAAGTATTCAGCCCTGGCTGGTGTGGCTCAGTGGCCTGAGCACTGGCCTGCAAACCAAAGGGTCACTGGTTCAATTTCCATTCAGGGCACACGCCTGGGTTGTGGGCCAGGTCCCTGGTGGGGGATGCATGAGAGGCAGCCACACACTGATACTTCTCTCTCTCCCTCTCTTCCCCTTTGTCTAAAAATAAATAAAATATATATTTTTAAAGTATTCAAAGGTTACCATTTTATCTCAAACCAATCCTTTTTTTTTTTTTTTTTTTACGATTTTTTATTTATTTTTATCAGAGGCGGAGGGAGAGAGAGAGGGAGAGAAACATCTATGTGAGAGCTTAACATTGTCTGGTTGCCTCTTGTATAGATGCTGTGATTGGGGACAAAACCCACAACCCAGGCATGTGCCCTGACCAGAAATTGAACTTGTGACCTTTCGCTTTGCGGGATAATACCCAACCAACTGAGCCACACCAGTCAGGGCAAATCAATCCTCTTTCAAAGTTAGTTAATTGGCACAAACTTCTACGAAGGGTCTGTCATCTCTTCTCTGCCAAGCATCTTTTAGTTTAGATCTTAGTTTTGTATAATCACCAAGCGATGTATCCACCCACTTTTCCATTTGGTCTGTAGATAGGATACTTGGCACATCTAATCTTGCTGGCTTCCCTGGCCCTCAGCTGACTTTAAATCTAGTCATACATCTTTCATTTAACCCTGGTCTCTACTTTTAAACACACTCCTGTATTCTCCCATTTTATTTTTACCTTACAACCTAGTGATATACTACAGGCAGTTCAGTCTTGACTAATGGAAAATAAACCTGTGCAGGACACTTTGAGCATCAAATGACTTATACTTGTTGCAATTACTGACTTTATGATTAGTTTGTATTGGAGGAATCTACATAACAAAAGGAAACTGCTTGTGATGCAAAGTTGGTCTCTGGCTATACTAGTATCATGAAACTCTTACCTAAGTCCTAGCCATGTTTTTGCTGCTGAATGTCTTTTGGGCATGCTATTATGTGGTTTGGGAATACTGTGTTACAGTTCATAATCAAGGGTGTTTAGTTTAAAAGGTTATACTTGTAACTAGTTAACTTCATAAAAAAAACTTCATTTAAATATTCAAAAAATGCTTAGTTCATTATGCTAACTGAAATAAGCCAGTCACAGGACAAATACTGCGTGATTCTACTTATGCAAAGAATCAAAAGTCATCAAACTCATAGAAACAGTAAAATGATGGGTGCCAGGGGCTGCATGGAGGGGGAACACGGGAATGTGGGGTTCAACAAGTATTGTTTCAGGTTAGCAAGATGAAAAAGTTCTAAATAGCTGTGTACAGCATTGTGTCTGTTATACATACAGTGTTGTGCCCTTAAAATTTTGTTAATAGGGTAGATCTCTTTAAGTAATCTTACCACAATCAAAGAAGAATACTCTTCAGATGACACAATAGACCAGGAAAAAAACCCCACTCAATTTACCCTTTCTATTTTACTTAACTTTCACTGTTTTTATTCCTGTGCCTTGCTTTAATGACTCCTTCAGATATAGAGCTTTGCAACTTGTTTTTGTAGGAAGTAGCTGAAGGACTGGCATTCTCCCTAGACTAGCTCTGAGTTGAGAGTTGTAGATTCTTTTTAAAAAAATTATTTTAAGGGAAGAAAGATTCTGTTAGGTTTTTGGATCTTGCTGCCCAGGAATGACTTCTAGCTGTCTTAACTCTGTTGTAACCCTGGCTCCTTCTAATGCCTGAGTATCCGCTCAGTCCTTCTGGCCCCTCTTGTAGTTGTTGTTATTAATGTTTTTGTTTTTAGAACTATCGAAAGTTTAAGAACTCAGACACCCTCTCCCCTTCTCCCCCCACCCACCTCCCGCCGCCACCCTGGAAATAGCAGAATAAGAACTAGGAAGTGCCACTCTGGCAGCTGCCACAGTTGAAATGAATGGTTCACCATGGGCAACAAAGGAAGATGACTGATTCATAGGTATTAACCATTTCCATTTGCCACCCAGATAGTACTAGTTGTTTTTCTATTGCTCATTTCTTATGCTAAAGAGCTTTTTGTTTCTGAAGTCCAGGGAAATGACTTTTGTAACATCACCTCATTTTATCTGGAAGCAAAGCCTATAGCGCTGATAATATCTCCTTCAGTAGGATCTCCCCAGGGAAATTAGGAGGCACAGAACCACCATCCTAGGCCCAAAGATTTAGGAAAACAAGGTAGGTCTGTGGACCTTCCCTTTTGCTTCTTTGAAGAGGACATGATATGTCTCCCAAGTAAACACACAGGAGGCTTATTTCTGAAGCCTCTGTGTAATTCTTACAGATCAGGGAACGTGAGATGACACAAGTCAGCAGAGAGTAGGACTAGCGCAGCAGATAGAGAATTAGTAGACACTTGTAGGTACCAGCAGGTCAGCACTTAGAGAATTAAAAGTATAAGGGATGCTCCTGATTTGCTGACCTCCTATCTTTTCGTTAAGTTTCTGTTCTGTTCCCCAAAGTACTATGTTTATAAGATTTAACAAAATGTTTTATTCCCCGCTTGTCTTGGTCCTGAGGATAAAAATCATCACCTGGAATTGAGAATCTCAACCGTGTTTTTTAAGAAATGTTCAAGAGGGAGCAGAGCAGCTCAGACAAGTCAAGCTCCTCCCAACCAGATGCAGGCCCTGCCCAGGGCCACCCCGCAATACTTGTGGTTTCAGTTACATTTCTCATTCTCTTGTCTCTAGTCATTCCCTAGGAGAGATGTTAAGTTACTGTTCCTTGAGAAAAATACTTGAAGGAAGAGTTTTAAGAATTTAACTCACTTGGTTGAAATTGCAAATAAGTGGCCCTTAGACAGCCACCCTTCTGTGGAAATGAATAGATAACTCAGAAAGAGGAATAGACAGAAGATGAGGATTGTAGGATCTGAACCTCAGAGGAAATATTTTAATTATTGTGCTAGAAGACAGAAGCGGGATGACGAAGAGCCAGCCTAAAGCAGTGACAACCTTAGGCCTTTGTTCTGCTACCTTCGTTTATCAGGTTAGAAGAAAGAGAAGGTGGGAGAAGGGAGTGGCCAGCCTCACTGGAGCTAGTGGGGTTCATGGCTAGGTGCTCCCAGATCTACAGGGAAGTGTCAAGGTGGAACACATCAGCCCGTACAATGGGGCAGTGCTCCTCCATTAGTCCCATTAGTGTGACGTCCTCTCAGTGCCCTAGCAGGTGATAACAGCCCCACCTAGGCAAGTAGTGGTAGGAGGGAGCCTGGTGCTACATCCTGATCTGCGGGGCTTGTCACAGTTGTAGCTGCACAGGATGATGGAAGCAGCCAGGTAGAAGGTGGAGGGCCTCCAGCTCAAGAGCTCTGGAGCTCAGGTGAATGCTGCATCTGCTTCCAGAACTAGAGACTGGCTTCCATGTTTGCCAGTTTTCGACTTCAATAAAAAGTTTGAAAAAAATCCTGCAGGAAAAATGTATTTCCCATACTTTCCTTTTAAAATATATTACTATTTTATACCACTCTCCCCCTTCCCTCCATGCCAGAGTAAGTTGGCCACGACAGCTCTCGTTCAGGTCTGAGGACCGTCCACTGAGCCCTTTCCTCTGCCTGGCACCCTTGCCC